TGTTGACCAGGATGGTCTCGATCTCTTGACCTCGTGATCCACCCGCCTCGGCCTCCCAAAGTGCTGGGATTACAGGCTTGAGCCACCGCGCCTGGCCAGTAAGAGTATTTTTAAAAGGACGTGTGGTAAAGAAGAACACTGACACAGCTCTGTGGATGCTAAACTCAAGGCAAATTTACTAGAAGACATTCTTCTCACCAGAGACTATCCTGGGAGACAGAATTAACTCAAAGGAATGAAAACTACAGGAAAATACTTATCTCAAGACAAAATGACAAAAAGCCAAAGCATTCAGAGCTCAGAGAACATGTCACAGAGCTTCAGATCAGCTGGCCAGGGAGGCTTAACAAGGAAGCCATTAGGGACACCCTGCTGGGCCTAATTGTTTTTAGAACATATGGGACTTTGTGCCACCACACAGCTGTGAACTCCCTGGCTTTTGTCAGCTTGTGTCACAACCTCAAGAAGAAAATAGTAGCTCACTACCCCCCACTTCCCACTAATTTACTGTATTTCTTCTTATAAACTCCTGTACAACTGTAAAGCAACTGAACAATATATAAACTCTGCCTCTCTTTTACTTTTAATTCTATAAAGAATATAGTATGATTGTCACAGAAAAACAGTATAGAAGAAGCACAATACTGGGCATATGATAGAAGCTCAATAAATAATGTATCTGGCCTGCTTTCAAAATGTTATTTCATTATACATTCATCACAGTTGCTGGGTATGGGCCAAAAATCATTTAGTGCACAAAGAAAAATTGTATACAGCTTTTAGCATTATTAAAATTAGAATAACTGCTGTATTCCCTTTATAGAATAAGGTTAAGTAAAAAATAAGGTTTCATTTCTAGAATGTTAAACTAAAAATAAGTTTAACACAATGAATAATTTGTATAAAGAAGATAATAAATACTTGTTAAATGGATGCTGAAAAAAACTTTTAAAATCTTATACTAAAGATATAGTACATGAATCAATACACATTAAAAACATTCCTTTTGGTTTTTTGTTTGTTTGCTTGTTGAGACAGGGTCTCAGCTGCAGCCTTGATGTTCTGGGCTCAGGTGATCCTCCTATTTCAGCCTCCTGATTAGCTGGGATTACAGGCATCCACCACCAGGCCAGGCTAATTTTCTTTGTTTTTTGAGATGGATTTTCGCTCGTCGCCCAGACTGGAGTGCAGTGGCATGATATTGGCTCACAGTAACCTCCACCTCCTGGGTTCGAGCGATTCTTGTACCTCAGCCTCTGAAAGCTGGGACTACAGGTGCCCGCCACCACACCCAGCTAATTTTTGTATTTTTAGTAGAGATAGGGTTTCGCCATGCTGGCCAGGCTGGTCTCAAACTCCTGACCTCAAATGATCTGCCTGCCTCAACCTCCCAAAGTGCTGGGATTACAGGTGTGAGCCACTGCACCTGGCCTAATTTTTATTCTTTTTGTAGAGTTGGCCAGGCTGGTGTCAGATCTCCTGACCTCAGGTGATCTGCTCCTCAGTCTACCAAACTGCTGGGATTACAGTGTGAGCCACTGCACTTGGCCTACATTCGTTATTAATAAAATCATTGTGTGCCAGTGAGAAAAAGTTCTTCTTAAATTTTTAAAATCAAAGATCATACAACCTTTTGGCTGAGATCTTATCTGAATAAAGAAGCAAAGATTTACTAACCTCTAAATCTTACAGTCAAATGTAACTAGTAACTAGTAAGGTATACTTTCCTAAAAAATTAACCAAATCAACATCTTTTTTGTGTATTTAGAAGCTACAGAGGTTAACTCTTCATTGATGACAGTCAGTACATTTACATCTGGAGCAGTTTTGAGACCCAAATGACCAATCCCGGAATACAGACACATCTGCTGAGTGTTTAATTCTGGCGCCACTCACCACAGTAGTCTTCTCACAGTACGCCATTCCCATGGTTGTTTTCACAGTCAGTAAACTGGTGATAGAGGCTCATGATAAATCATAAAGATCCTAACACTGTGAATATTAAGTAACGGTATGTAGAGCAAACTTCTAGGGTTTTTCAAACACTTCTGTACAGTGCAAGGCAGTCTGCTCAGGACAAAAATGAGAGAATCTTTGTGGGCTTCAGAGACTCAGTTCAGATAATCAGATCTCAGGGTTGTATTTTTAAAAAATTTACTACAAACACAAAGTAAATCTAATTTTAAAGACAAAAATTACAAATTATTCCATACCAACAGAAATGTCCAATGATGATGAAACAAAAGACATCAGAAGTTCTAGATAATTATTCAGTAATAGCTGTTGAGCTGTTTTAAAATTTAAATCAGAATTTTAAAAATCAGAAATCTTTGTGGTACCTTTTGTTCTATAATTCAGAATTCTAATAATGATGCCAATGACTAACGGTATTGGTGATTCTTAAACCTGGGGTATCTTCCTATTTATGCTTATCTCACTGATTTGCTAAAACAAAAATCAGTAAATCCACAGAGATTGAGAGAACACACACTTTCTTGGAAAGGCTGACCAACAAAATAATCCTTAGGCCACACTCTGAAGCTGTGAATTTCCATGAACTCCAGAGCTGACTTGGGACATGTGAGGGAGAAAGACAATCTTCTCGCCCATCATTCACATTTTCTACTGTTCATCCATTTCCCCGATAACGAGTCCGACATAACATACTCTTCCAGTCCGCACCATCAACTGGAAAAGCCATATGGATTTGTTGTTGGTTTGTTTAGAGACCACGTATTCCAAGTAACAAGCAGGCACATTTCTGGAGAACCCTGGTGCTCCTGAACTCTTGGCTTACCTTTCCTGAGGGTCACACTGTAAAAAGAACACCCTACTCCAGAAGGGAAGGGAACAGCTAAGTCATGGTTTCTTATTGTAGAACTACTTAGCAAGGAAACAAGCAACAGGTCAGAAACCAAGTGTCATGGAATCACTGTAAGACCAAAGACTCAGCAGGGTGTGGTGGCTCAAGCCAATAATCCCAGCACTTTGGGAGGCTGAGGTGGGTGGATCATTTGAGGTCAGGAGTTTGAGACCAGCCTGACCAACGTGGTGAAACCCCGTCTCTAC